CTGTAATCTACCTGACATCCTCACCACCTGGATCTCTGTTCCTACATTTATCCCTTCTTTGACACTGATATCATTTTGATCTTCAGTTGACTTCCCAGGTCCTTTGAAGTTGTTGTTGTAGTTTTGTTCTGTTCTGAACTCTGCTGTCGACTGAGTTCCAGGTGGTGTTGCCACGCCTGCCAATCTCTTGTTGTCTGTTCTTGTTGGTTTTCAGTCCAAACAACTCCCTTTAGGATGTTTTGAAGTGCTGGATTGGTTTTGACAAACTCTCTTAGATTCTGTTTATCCTGGAATGTTTTGATTGCGCCATTGTATTTGTCTGACAGTTTTGCTGGATAGACAATTCTTGGTTGGCAGTTTTTTTTGTTTTTTTTTTTCTTTTAGGGTTTTGTATACGTCTCCCCATTCATTGCCTTCTCGCCTGCATGGTTTCTGCTGAGAAGTCAGAGCTTAATCTGATTTGCTTCCTTTGTAAGTGACACTTCTCTTTTCCCTGGCCGCTTTTAGAATTCTCTCCTTGTCTTTGATTTTGGAGAGCTTGATTATTATATGTCTTGGTGACTTTCTTTTGGGGTCTATCCTTCCTGGGGTACGTTCAGTTTCTTGAATGTTTATCTTCTCATCTTTAAAGATGTTAGGGAAATTTTCTTCCAGAAGCTCTTCAACTATCTCCTCTGTGGACTTCTCTGATTCTTCCTGTTCCAGAATGCCAATAATCCTTAAATTGTTCATATTATCCAGCATGAATCTTAGACTCTCTTTAGATTTTTAAAATACTTTTTGCAGCTTGCTCTTCTATCTTAGCAGTATTGAGAGATTTGTCTTCCAGCTCACTAGTTCTGCCTTCCATCTCTTCTCTTCCGCTCCTTTCCCCTTTCAGTGTATTGTCCATTTCTGATATTTTATTATTAATCATCTGGACCTCTTTTTGCAGGTTTTGAATTATTTCCAGTGCTGTATTAATCTTGTTTGATTTCTCTTGTAGTACTTTCCTGACTTTTTCCTTGTTTTCCTCCACCTCTTTTTGGAGCATTTGAATTTGTTTCCACATTATTCTTCTGAATTCCTTCTCAGGCAAATTCAAAACCTGCTCTGCCTCTTCTGGGGAGCCTTTGTCTGTCTCCAGCTCATTTATCTCAGTTACTCTTTTTTGTTTTTTAGACATGTTTTGAGATCTTTTCTTGTGTTTTGTTTGTTATTTTCAGTAGTTATGTGGGTTTTTTAATGCTTAAGTAGATGTTTGTGTTGTGTTATTAAGCTTACTAGGTGTCTCCTGGTGGATATGATCAGGAGATAGGCTTCCTTTTTTGCATGTAATGCTTATCAGCTGTTATTGGCTCTTGTCTCAATGGTGGAATATTATGGGGTATGCTTTTAGCTGGGCTATATGGCCACGATTGCTGTCTCTTCTTGGGTAATGTAGGGAGAAAAAGCTCCCACCTCCAGGAAAAATGTGTAATCAAAAGGACCAAAAGCAGAAGCAATATAAAAGCAGACACAAAAACCACCACTTTGAAACAAAAATAAAACTGTGGCCAACTGTCCAGTCGCCTTGCTACACAGGTAGTGTGTTTGCACTGTAGACACCTCCATCAATGGGTGGGGGTGTCCACTCGCTCAGGCCCCTCCTCTAGTCACCACCGTAGAGGTGCGCAGATAGATATTGAGAAGTTAATGGGAGAAAGATTGTCTACTATTTTTGTCTCTGAAAGTCAGTTAGGTTTTCAATCCCTCCCCCAAGGAGCCTTTCCTAACTGGTTGTCTCTGCCACCACCAAAACCGAAACCTCAAAGGCACTTGTTTTGTGGTGTGTGTGTGTATGAATAAAGTTTTATTGGCACGCAGCCACCCTCACTTGTTTGCATATCCTCTATGGCTGCTTTCACTCTATAAGACAGACAGAGTGGAGTAGTTGCAGTAGAGCCTAAAGCCCTTTACAGAACAAGTTTGTTGGCTCCTGATACTCCATCCTGGTCATTGCTTGTACCCTGGCCAGAGTAGAACAGTCTAGTTTGAATTTGCTATTTCCAAAGGCTCGAACACTTGGGGTAGCACCAGCTGCCTCTCCAAGCAACCCCGTCCTCCCCATACACACCTCTCAGGTTCTTCCGGTCATGGCTGAAGTCACCCCTTAAATCTCATAATCAGTCAGAATTTTTCCCATTTGTTGAGTACCTACTGTTGCTTTATTCTTCATAGTGACCCTATGGGGTTGTTACTATTGCTAGCCCATTTTACATATGAGAAAACAGAACCTTAGAGAGGTCCAGTAGCTTGCTCAAGGCCACAGAGCTGAAAGGTAGTAGAAGCAGGCTTAGGCTTGCCTAGATTCTACCTATTCATTCACTATTCCTCCTCCGCCTGGACCAGGGTCTGCTGTCTCCAGGCCAAGCAGGATGACTGCAGGCACTGGGATGCCAGGTACCCCTGGCACGGCCTCCTCGGGCTTTGGAGCAGTGTCGGAGACTCTGACTCTTCTCTGCCTCCTTTTCTGTCCGCAGGCTTTCTACTATGACCTGGATAAGGTGAGTGAAACCTCTCCTTGCATGTGGTGAGCAAGCTGGTCCACTGGGCCGGGCTGGGATCAAGTCTCTACTCACCATTTTATGGATGTGAAAACTGAGGCTCAGTGATGACTCTCACTCTTGGAGGGTGGGGGCTCCCTGTGCTTAGGACCAGGAGGAGGGTGTCTCAGGCCACTCTCCAGGCATCTTCTCTCTCTCCCGGAGAAGCAAACACGATCTGTGGAGAGGCACATTCGGAAGATGGAGTTTCATATTAGCAAGGTCAGCCTGCCCCTGGGGGCTCATGGGTGGGATTGGGACAGCCTTCCATCTGCAGCTCCTATAATCAAGCTCTCTGGGTGCTGGGAACCTTCCTTTCTTCTTAACTGGGGAGCTAGAGAAAGCTGAGGATGAGAGGTGGGTGGGGGTGCAGGTGATTTCTGGCAGGCCTTGGCTGAGTTGAGGGACTGTGGAGCTCAGGCCTGGGGTGGGGGCAGAGGGAGTGACTGGGGTTCCCCCAGGGCTGTGTGGGCCCTTTCCTTGGTTTAGACAGAATTACCTCATTGCAATCTCAGAGTACTGGGAAGGTTGAGTCCAACCACTCCATTGTACAGATGGGAAAGTAAAGACCCAGAGAGGGACCAAGAGTGCTGAAGGTCACACAGCAAGTCCCTTCAGTTTTTCTTCCAGATCCTTTCATGGCCTTGCTTTATGTCTGAGAGGGTGGGCAAGGAGATCAGACACCCACTTCCCCTTGCAGTTAGAAGGGAAGAGAAACTGGGCAGAGACAAGTGTTGTCACAATCTCCGTGTGCTGAGGTTACCAAGGGGACAGGAGAGCCATGATTCCTGGCCCTGTGGGTCCCCATCTGATGAGGAAGGTCAAGGGGTAAGGAATCAGGTCTCCTGGGATGGGCGTGCCCACGCGAGTGCCCCCCCGCGGCAGGTGGACGAGCTCTACGAGAACTACTGCATTCAGTGCCGTCTGCGAGACGGAGCCTCCAACATGCAGCAGGCCTTCTCCAGGTGCCCGATGAGCCGCGCCTCCCGGGAGAGCCTTCAGGAGCTGGGCCGCAGCCTGCACGAATGCACCGAGGTGGGCGCGGGCGCGGGTGGACGGGCACAGGGGCGCACGGGCGGCTGGAGCTCCGGCTGCAGGGTCTGTGTGCACAGATGGCTGAGCCATGTGTGGGGCTCTGCAGGACATGTGGCTCATCGAGGGGGCCCTGGAGGTTCACCTGGGAGAGTTTCACGTCAGGATGAAAGGTGAGAGTGCATGCGCACAGCCGGTTTGGCGGGGCACCATACCTCTTTGGGGGCGCCAGACTTCTGAGGGTGGGAGCTGGCAGAATCTCAGGGGCCCAGGCCTCCCTGATGAGAGGATCCAATCCAGGCCTCTTTCATGTGAGAACCTAGGCCTCTTTCTGCCCATCCCAATGGTTCGCCCTCCCCCCACCGGAAGCTGACAATGCACTCTTGGGGGTTCTCCAGTGAAGGACGGGGTCACAGGAGGGCAGGAGGACAATCTGCATCTCTCTGTTCCAGGCTTGGTGGGCTACGCGAGGCTCTGTCCCGGAGACCAGTATGAGGTATGGCCACCAGGAATCTGTCCCCAAAGCCCCTGACCAGGCCTTGGGTGGGAGGGAAACCAGGGTCCCAGCTGTATTTCTGGCTCACTCCGCCCAGCTGGCAGGAGGGTTGAGGTTACCCTGGGTACCCCTTACAGGTCCTTCTGCGCCTGGGCCGCCAGCGCTGGAAGCTGAAGGGCCGGATCGAGTCAGATGACAGCCAGACCTGGGATGAGGAGGAGAAGGCCTTTGTCCCCACGCTGCACGAGAACTTTGAGATCAAGGTGTGGCAGGGAGGCTGGAGCAGGCGTGGGAGGAGAGGTGGGGGGGTGGGCACCCAGGGCACTCGGCTCAGACACCCTCACCCCCTCCAGGTGACAGAGCTAAGGGGACTAAGCTCACTGGCTGTGGGTACAGTGACCTGTGACATGGCCGACTTCTTCACCACCCGGCCGCAGGTCATCATGGTGGACATCACGGAGCTGGGCACCATCAAGCTACAGTTAGAAGTGCTGTGGAAGTGAGTGGGGACTGCCTCCGCCCCATCACCTACTGTCCCTCTCCAGGGCCAGCGGGAAACTCCAGTCCCGGGTGCTCAGTCCAGAGGAACAAGCAAGGGATGGAGCTTCTCTGGCTCCCCCTGGTGGCGTACTTCTGCCCTGCGCACCATCCTCAGGCATCCCGGACCCATACTCAGACCGGGCTAGTGTCTCACTTCCTGTCTGCACCCCCTACCCCCTCCAACATACACACACAGTCTGAGACCAGTTCTTTCTCTGCAGTCCCGCCCCATGAGTTTGAATTCTGTTCCCACTTTTGATCTAGTGTCTATTGAAGACCCTGTTGGGTTAGGACCTTTTCCAGTGGCCCCCAGGATGTGGACTCCTTTTAGGAGCCTCATGTCCACCTGTGAGACATTCGAAGTGAGGCTAGCTGACTGACCCCTCTCAGGTCACCTAGGGCTTAACCCTGGGCTGCAGACTCCTAGGGTGGGACTCACTTGCTGGGTAGTCCGTGTATCACATTTCAGGGAATGCTGGTTGATCCCACAGCTGTTGTTGGCTCAAGAGCTTGTTCCCAAGTGAAACATGGTATTTTGAGGGAATTCCCTTTCCTTATTCCAACTGGCCTGGGCAGGTGCCCAGTGCTTGCTTGTTCTTGAGTTTGCTCTGACTTATCGGGGTTGTCTTCTCCTCTCTCACTGGATGGTGTTCAAGCCTGGGGTCCCCAGAGCCACGGAACGAACCACTTCTCTCTCTCAGCCTTCATTTCTCCCTGTTTCCCCACCTCACTGGGTCGTCGTGAGGGCGGGAAGAAGTGCATGTGTAGGCTTTGGCTCCCTGCTCAGTACTGTCACTGTATGAGAGGTCATACCCTGGGCATCATAACCTGGCCTACTGTTCTCTCCTCCAGCCCCTTTGATGCTGACAGTGTCCTGGTGTCACCTAGCCCCACAAGCAAGTTGTCTGTGGGTAGCAGGAAGGGCTCTTTGTACAACTGGACGCCCCCGAACACACCCAGCTTCAGGGAGAGGTACTACCTGGTAAGTGAGCCTCCTCTAGGTGGCGCTGAGAAAGTCACACTGGGCTGAGGACCAGGAATGATAGCTGGAGGAGCTGGGCAGCCCGGACCCCCAGGTGAAGCGAGCTCTGGGTTCAGCCTGGCTCATTTCAGGACTTTCTTTCTCTTCTGTTGTGCTCCATTCTAGGGTTCTTGGGGCTCGGGGCAGGGGTTTGGTTCTGGCATGGCTGTTCTGACACCACCAGCCATGGGTTTGTTGAATATATGTCCCAGAAGGGAATACCTTAACATTCATTGTTGTTAATTGCTGTGAATCCAGGAGTCTAGGATTCCTCCTTAGAATGAACCACTATTGTTCATTTCTTCCAAACACTCTCCAGCCATTCTCCCCCATTAGGAACCGACTCCACGGCACATAAACACCACCACCAATAGTCTCTTTTATGGAGACCTGGTGTGGCGTTGTAGGTTAATGAGCTGAATTGCAAAGTTGGCTTGAACTGCAAGGTCGGCAGTTTAAGCTCACCAGCCACTCCTTGGAAACCCTGAAAAGGGTCCCTATGGGTTGGAACCAGCTCAACAGCACTCAGCAACCGTAGCAGTCTCTTTAAGCCAGTGCTGTGCGTGGAGATTGTTCTCTGCCAGTGCTCACAGGGCTTCCTCATTCTTTATTAACCACTGATGGCACAGTGGGTTAAGCGTTGGGCTGCTAACCAAAAGATCAGCAGTTTGAACCCACCATCCTTTCTTTAGGAGAAAGAGTGGCAGACTGCTTCCTTAAATATTGCAGTCTGCAACCCCTCTGTCGTACAGTGCCATTGTGAGTTAGAATCAACTTGCTGGCAGTGGGTTTTGGGAGACCACCTTCCGCTCTATCCTGCTTTATTCAGTGTGACATTGAAGTTAGGACTGGTTTTGCTATCACAACAGAGTGGAGACTCTTCTGTAAACACATCATTTTGTAGGGGCACGAGTGTTCCCCTAAGGCAGGTGGTCCCCAGGAAGGTCTGGTAGGGTACTGGCATAGAGGATACTGACTGGGGTGTGTGATGTGGAGCCAGGTGCACTTTCTGTTGCATTCTAGGCCTTAGGTGGGGAGGGAGGCTTCACGTGAGCCCAGTAGTTTGTGATTTATAGGACATTTTCTTGTCTCATCTGGTGGGACACAAAGTATTTTGGTTAGAAACTCATCTGTGGTCAACAGCATGGATTTTGGAACCAGTCAGCCAAGGTTCGAATTCTGCTTTTGTCTCTCACCTGCTGTGTGATCTTGGGCAAATGACTTAACCTCTCTGGACTTCAATGTCAGTAGGAGAGAAATGAGAATAGTAGTATTCGCCCTGTGGTTGTTAGGAGTGGAAAGTGAGCTAGCAAACGGGAAGTGTTTTCTGGAACCAGGAGATGGTGCTGGAAGAACATGGGCTGTTGTTGCTGCAGAGGGGTTGAGGGTTCGAGTTCTACCACTGTGTATTCTTCCCCTGTGGCCCTGTCTCTGGGGTATGAACAGTGGCACTCTCCTAGGGGCACTAGGAGGGTTAAACGAGGTGCAACATGATCTTTAGAAGGAATGTGGGGACACCCGTGCTTACTGATGAACTCTTGTTTCTTTTTTACATTAAAAACATCATTTATTCATTTTACTGACAAACCAAGTTAACTTAGATCTGAAGTATTATGTGAAAGCTTGCACAGATGTCAGAATCTGTTCTAAATCAAGACCATGACTATCTCCCCACACTGCCACAGATACGCCCTGATGTGAGTGTTCACATGAGTCCATTTCTGGCAGGAGTGCACTTTTCCTTCAAAATTTACTGTTCTTGTCACTGTTAATGAGACTCACAAGTCCCTGCCAGCCACACAAGGTGCTGGCTTGTAGGCAATGTGGGACGGCGTAGTTCTGAACTTACCAGGAGTTGTTTCTACAATCACAGTCACTGGCTAAGTCTTGTATATATACCACCCTTCTTCATTCCCTTCATTCATTTCTGCAAGGACAATGCCCTGAGAAAGCTGAAAACCACTCATGTCCCCAAGACAAACAAGCAGGGGCTGGAGTAGAACTGCTGGATAAGGCGGGATGTTGCCATTTAAAATCGAGTGTCCAGAGACGGGCTCCAAAAAAGGGATGACTGAGTGAGGATGTGGAAATGCAAGATATGGGGAGAATGTTCTGGGCAGAGGGCATGGGCAGTGCAAAGGCCCTGTGGTGAGAATGTGAGAACAGCAAGAAGGCTGCTGGGGCTGGAGAGGAGGATGGAGGGAGATCAAGGCAGGTAGTAGCAGCAACTCCAGGACTCTGGCTACCGTGGTGGACCTCGGCCCTCCCTGGTATGTGGGTGTGCAGAGCAGGTGACTGGGGTGGGAGAGGACTCTCTGGGGGACATTTCATGGTCCCGGGGTGGTCAGTGAAGCTGGCTTGTGTTTTCTCCCCAGTCTGTCTTGCCACAGCCACCACAGCAAGCTTTGTTATTGGGCGGGCCCAGGGCCCCCTCCATTGTCAGCTACCTCTCCGATAGTGACCTTCAGGCTCCTGGCCTGTACAGCCGGAGCCAGGAACTGCCTGAGATGGAGTCCTTCAGCTCTGAGGACCCCCGAGACACAGAGACCAGCACGTCAGCCTCCACCTCAGATGTGGGGTTCCTGCCCTTGGCCCTTGGCCCCAATACGTCCATTGAAGAGGAGGCCCTTGAAGAGCCCCCTTCCATGGGTTTCCTGCCAGAGACAGCCCAGCTGGTGGGAGGCTTGTTCGTGGAGCAGCCTGGCTGGAGGGACCTGGGTGTGGAGAGCCCCAACCTGCCTCATAGCTCCCCACTGCACAGCCGCGTGATCCGGGCTTGCCGGGAAAGCCAGGATGCAGGAGAGGCCGAGGAGGGAGTGGACAGGCCTGGCATGGCCCTTGAGCAGCCGCTACAGGAGGTCCTGGAGTTGCTGAGGTCCACAGCCCCCAGCCAGCCCCAACTCCGGGAGCTGGAGTACCAGATCCTTGGCTTCAGGGACCGGCTGAAGGTAGGGCCACCCACTGCTAGCAGCCTCTCTAGGCCTCAGCTTGCCCATCTGTCAAGCAGGCATGCCAGCGACCCTCATCGGACTGTGGGGAGCCTTGGGGGGATCATGCATGTTCATGGCACGAATCAGACCTTTAGTGGGTGTCAGGTTATGGGAGGAAAATGGGGCTCAGAGTGGAACACTAGTTCCTCTTCCAGCCAGAACCCGACCCCACTGCACATCTTCCAACTCGGGGGGTCAGGGCAGGGCGCTGTGGAAGTCCCCGAGCAACCTGCCTGCCTCATCCACAACCCACGGTACCATCCTTCATCTGGGGCATCACCGGGCCCAGGCTACGGAGGGCTCAGGCGGCCCTCAGAGGCCTGGCCTGGACAGACTCTTCTATTCTCTTCTCAATTTTTGTTCACCTAAATTGAAATGTATGCAAAATAAAATATATAACAGCAGCATCTACTTATACATCACTTCATTTATGAACCTGGTTTCTTTTGTGTAGGACACACATTGGCGCTAAAATAATGCAAAGCAACCTAAAAGCTATTTTCAAAAAATTAATTTTGGTTGTTTGATTGCCATCTGCTCCCCAACATTACATATCAGCACAGGTGAAAGAAAAGCCATGTTCTCATTTTATACCCAGTGTTTTTTTAAAAATAAGGGCTCATTTTTTTTCACCACTGCTGTGGTCTTTAAAAGCACTTGTCTGAGAATTTCGAGGGAAAAGAAAAAAAAAAAAAGAGCGAATACCAGCTCTTTTTTGTGTGTGTTTTTAAAGTGTTTCTGTGCAGAGCAACTTGAAGAAGCACCCTATTTCTGTCACATGTACATTTAGAAACAACACATGTTTGACAGAAAAATCTCAAAACAGTACTGCAGTAATAGGTAACTGATTGAAAACATCTTTGAACACTTTATTTTGCAAACTAAGTTAAACCAACTGCTAAGTCAATTCTGACAGAGTAACCTTAGATGAGAGTAGAACCGCCCCAAAGGGTTTCCAATATAATCTTTATGGAAGCAGATCATGAAGCTTTCCCCCCAGAGAGTGGCTGCTAGGTTTTGAACCACCGACCTTTCCCTTACTAGCTTAGTGCTTAACCACTGCACCACTAGGGCTTTAAAAAAAAATGATTGTAGGCCAAGGTTTGTAGTTAAGTTTTAAAAAGAGAAATTCCATGTGCACACACATAGGTGTATATATATGTGTGTGTTGGAGCCCTAGTGTGGCGCTGCCCACAAAGTCGGGTTGAACTGCAAGGTTGGCAGTTCAAACCCACAAGCTGCTCCTTGGAACCAACTCAATGGCACTTAACAGCAACAACAACCAATGTATATGTGTATATATGTATGTGTCTGTATATGTGTGTGTGTATGTGTGTATAAGCGTGTGTTATACGTGCATTCATCCTGGCTCTTGGGAACTGAAAGCTCTGCATCTAGTCTCAATGTTCTCTTCTTGCTCAAGGGTTTCTCTTAGGGCCCCATCTGTAGGAGAGACAGGTGTGGCACACAGGGCTATGTCTGCTCTAGGTGGGCCTTAGCTGCGATTTGTGTGGGAGGAGGCGGGAACCAGCCCTGCCTTCAGCCTTGGAACAGGAGCGGGATGACACAAGTCACCAGCAGGGAGTTTCCAGGTGCATTTGCAGGTTCTGATGATCAGTTCAAGCCTCAGTTGGCATCTCTTCTCTAATCACTCTGCCTCCTGGTCTCCCTGGGACCAAGAGGCTCACCTGGTGAGGGTGGTCTTGAACATTCTGAAATATTGTCAGCCTGACCCACACCAGGTATTTTAGAGAACTTGGAATTATTGTTTGTTGTTGTTAGGTGCCACCTAGTTGGTGCCAATTCATAGTGACCCTATATACAACAGAACAAATCACTGCCCGGTCCTGGGTCAATCTCAAAATCACTGCTATGTTTGAGCCCATTGCTGCTGCCACTGTGCCAATCCATTTCTCTGGGGATCCTCTTCTTCTTCTCCGACCTTCCATTTTAGCAAGCATGATACCTTTCTTCAGTGAGTGGTTCCTCCTGATAATATGTCCGTCGTGTGAGAGATGAAGTCTGGTCATCCTGGCTCCTAAGGAGCACTCTGCCTGTACATTTTCCAACACACATCTAGTTGTTCTTTTGGCAGTCCATGGTACTTTCAATATTCTCTTCCACACCAAAACTCAAATGCTTCAATTCTTCTACAATCTTCCTTATTCACTGTCCAACACATGCATATGAGTTTATTGAAAATATCATGGTACAACTCAAACTGAGGTCTTTGTTTTCTTAACACTTTAAAGAACCTGTTGTTGTTAGGTGCCATCATGTTGGTATGGTCTCATAGTGACCCCATGTACAACAGAATGAAACACTGCCCAGTCCTGCGCCAACCTCACAATTATTGCCACACTTGAGTCTGTAGCTGCTACCGTAGTACTAATCCATCTCATTGGGGGTCTTCCTCTTTTTCACTGACCCTCTACTTTACCAAGCACTTGGAATTAGTTTTTGATTTTTCAAACCTGGGAGTCTGGGTGTGGCACTATAGGATAAGCACTGGACTGCTACCCACCAACAACTCCTTGGAACACTCTATACAGGGTCGCTATGAGTCGGAATAACATTTCAAACCTGGTGGCTTCCCATAAAAATTCAGGTTTCTGGCTTTTCCTAGACACTTTACTGCCTGTGTCAACTGGGACACAGCTGCAGCTGTCCCCCACCCAGCCTGCCCACTCATTCATGTCATTTGCCCTGTCCTATGGGGTGGGGGTGTGTGGTCCCTGTGAGGCTGTTCCCTTCAGATTCTGTCACGGTTATTCACGAGGGACCTGGAAGCCATTCTCGCTGGTGGGCACAGGGCTTGGAGCTGGACTGAGAGTGCAGTGTGTGGACTCAGTCCCCTTCAGGTGTGGAATGGGAGCCACCCAGTGTGTCTGGGGAGCAGTGTGCTGGCCGTCCTCAGGGACTCTTGCCCTGCCCACAGCCCTGCGGTGCCCACCGGGAGCAGGTCTCTGCTGAGAGCTTGATGGAGTGTCTCCTGGAGAGTTTCGCCTTCCTCCATGCTGATTTTGGCTCTGATGAGCTGTCCCTGTTTGGGGGCTCCCAGGGCCCCTGGTGAGTGCAGTGTCTTCTCCTGGTCACCATCGCTCCATGTTTCTGTCAGTTGCTGACTTATTTTACCCACTGTGCCCCCTCTATTCTCCCCCCACCCTGCCCTTGCCTTCTCTGCCTGACACAGAGAAGGTTCTTGGGGACCACGGAGTGAATGAGGCATCCCACACTGCCCCAATCATGTTGTCCCCAAATCATTACTGTCTATGGAGGGAGTGGGTGTCACTTCCCCCTAAGACTGTCCACAGTTGCTCACTGCACCTGCCATGTGGACCGTGTGCTAGACACTCCCACCAGCTGCATCCCACGTCCCCTCACAAGTCTGGGCTGGTGACTCCTGCCCCCACTTTGCAGTTGAGAACACTGGAGGCTGGGGAGGCAGGCTTGTCCTCATCACAGAGCTGCGACTCCCTTTGAACCTCAGGCTGCTGACTCCCAACAGGCCCCTTTGCCACCCTGGTTCCTTCCTCAAGCCTTTGCTCCTTTTCTTAGCCTTTGCCTTAGTTTACCCCCACCTCCCTGATCTGGAGCTCTCTGGTGGGGGGGAGGGGGGGCTGCCTCTACCATTTAACTGGGAGGGTCACTCTGTCCTTCTCATGCGGACTCAGGAAGGACAGGACCTCACCCTCGCCACCATCACTGAAAGTGTCCAGAGAGCTCGCGGCAGGCGCCCCAGAACTGGACGTGCTGCTCACGGTCCACCTCCGAGTCTGCAGAGCCTTGCTGCAGGTGCCTGGGAAGGGCTGATCTGGAAGGGTCTCAGAGAGAGGAAGGCCCTCGGTGGGAGGTGCTGGCCAGGGCCTGGTGAGGAGTCATCTTACCACTCTTGGTGATATTCAAGCCCCAAACCAAAGGCTATGACTTATTTCAGTTGTAGATGTCGCCCTGACCCAAAGCGGCTCAACCAAAAGGAACATTTCACGCGTCATGAGGGGTTCTTTCCCTCTCAGTCCTGCTGTCCTCAGCCTGGGCTTCATTTTCAGGGAGCCAGCCTCATCTGTTCCAGGATCCCCTCACTGACATACAGGAAGGAAGGTGTCAATAGGCCAGCACCTGTGTGGAATTCAGAGTGGGGAGCCAGGGTCCCCAGATCAAAGGAGTGCTCATTGCATTTGGGGGGCAGACGATCTTTGAGGGAGAGCTCCAAGCTAACCTGGGCATCTCTGGCTCTTCCCAGAAACTGGCCTCCCCTAACTTGTCAAGGATAATCCAGGAGTGCCTCCTGGAAGAAGCAGTGCAGCAAAAGCAGGTTCTGGAGACACTATCTGTGCTCGACTTTGAGAAGGTCAGCAAGGCAGCATCCATTGACGAGAGTGAGTAATGCCCACCCCCTCGGGCACCCAGTGACCCCTGGAGTCCTGACTGTTCTGGAGCCAGGGTGCAAGTCAGGGGCTAGGAAGAATTAGAGTTAGCAGTACAGCATGCATGATCTGGGTTAATGATTCCCCATCAGAGCCTCAACTTCCCCTTCTGTATAATGGGGGAGAGTTCCATGAAGTCATCCCAGAACACACTCAAAGCCCAGTGGTTTCCGTTCTGTCTCTGTCTCTCATGAAGTCTCGAGTAAGTGAAGCCCAGGTTGTCTATCCGCACAGAGGATGGCAACGTGGTCACCCCTAGAATGGAGTGTGGCCCTGGCCCCTCAACTTTCTGACCCTGGGCCCTCAGTCATTCCACAGGCCTCCCGGAGGAAAGGCTGTCTGAAGCTGTGGAGAGGATGCACGGGCCCTGGTGGGGTCCTGTCCTGCCCCGCAACAGTATTGCTGAGCCAGCTGAAGAAAACATTCCTGCACAGGATACGAGGGAAGTACCCGGGACAGCTGGAAATAGGTAAACCTGCATGAACGTGCACCTGCAGCACATTCACAACAGGCCTTATTGTGGTCTCACCTGCACCTTTACCCAGTGTCCTCATGGTCCGTGGGCAGTTCTCAGCTTGATGCCATCTGCCCTTTCCACAGGGAGGGAGGGAGAGGACTTGCAGGCAAACATGAATGAGGGGGGCACTTTCCCCAGGTGAGTCCTTAACTCTCCACCCAGACCTTTAAGAATGAGCAGGAAGAAAAAAAACAAAAAACAGAGGGAATGGAAACACATGCTATTGAATGATGTTGCATGGAGGGGATTGTAATCACTGCAATGAAACGAAATACGATGGGATGTTCTTCTGTGTAAACGATCACTCAATTCACAAAAACTTTAAAAAAAATGAGGCGGAGGGAGGTAGGCAAGGCTTGGCAGAGGAATAGTGAACGCTGGAGGGACTTGGCTCTTCTCTGTTGGAGTCCAGGGCCGCAGGCAGTGTAGTCTTTCAGGCAGTGGTTCCCAAAATCTTGTGCGCTTGCAAGGGGTCTCCATGGCATGGTGGTTCAGCACTGCGCTGCTAACCAGGGCTGGTGGTTCGAACCCACCAGCTGCTCCTTGAGAGACAGATGTGGCCATCCTCTTCCATGAAGATTATAGCATGGAAACCCCATGGGGCAGTTCTACCCTGTGCTCCAACTTTAAGAGTTGGACTTGGTTTGGATTTATTGTGGACGTGCACAGTCCCAGGTCCTAGGGATTTTCATGTGGGGTGGGGGCCAGACACATGACTCGGACTCAGGCCTGGCGTCTCCAGCTGGCAACCACGGCTCTCTCCAGTTTGATCTTTTCCCTTGGGCACAGGCGGCACTCGGGGACCATTTAAAAAGCCTTAACTGGACAGGTTCTAGATCAGCGAGGGTCTCCCTCTGGGAGCTGAGCCTCACCCCTTGCATGATCTCCCAGTGTGCCGAAGGCTGCTGGAGCAGGTGATCAGCTGCGGAGGGTTGCTCCCCAACACGGGGCTCCTAGAGGAGCAGACAGTCACCTGGTTCCAGTTTCACAGCTACCTGCAGAGGCAGAACATCTGTGACCTGGAGAAGCACTTCATTCAGCTCACTAAGGAAGGTAAGGCGGATGGTGGGTGTGGGGGAGAGCAGGCGGGTCCAGCCCGGCCAGTAGGAGCAGAGGAAGCTGAGCGACCGCACCCCCAATGTCTCCACCCCCAATACCCAGGCTGTGAGTTGGGGACTGCTTCATCATTGCCTTACAGCTGCTCTTCTGAAGTCCCAAGTTTAATTGGATTCCATATTCAGCCTCTTGGTGAAACTTAACTCCCAGGGAGGGAGGCCTTGAGTCCCTGCAAGCATGGGCTGTGGTTATATTCATTTGTTATTGTTATGTGCTGTGGAGTCACTTCGGACCCTATACAGGGTTTCCGAAGAGCAGAAAGCCTCATCTTTCTCCTGCAGAACAGCTGGTAGTTTTGAACTGCCGACCTTAAAGTTAGCAGCCCGATTTGTAACCACTATGTTACCAGAGCTCCTTGTCATTTAGGGGGTATTTTGTCCCTTGCTACAAAGTCTCCCTAGAGATTCAGGAAGGCCCCCTTGAAAGCAATCCAGATGGGGCCTCTGATAACACTGGGCTCGCAGCAGGAGGGGACCTGGGCCGTCTTCTCTTCCAGTGTCGTTGGTGGAGGAGCTGCAATGCTCCGGACGGGCCAGGACGGTCAAGAAGTTGCAGGGAAAGCGGCTGAGCCAGCTGCAGCCCCTACCCCAGACCTTAAGCGCCTGGGCCTTGCTCCAGCTGGATGGGCCTCCACGTGTGTGCAAGGCGGCCAGCACACGCCTGGCCAACGCAGCCAGGAACAGAAACTTTCGGAAGAAGGTAGGGTGGACGGCAGGGCAGTGACAGCTTTCCCCGCCTTCCTTGCAACCCCCCCCCCCAACTGCATGTACTGCAAGGAACTCTGATACAGGGGTCTTGGTAAGGAGGCATCCTCCCACCTTGGGGGGTGGGATGCCAGGCCACCACCTGACAGATCAGGAGCTTGATACCTGTTTCCAAAGCAGAACATGTTTGGTCTCTGGGATATCACCTGCCTGGCAAATATTTCTTTTCTAGAATGCTGAAGGTCACCCCCAGTAACTGCAGTCAGCTGTGCCTGGCTTGTGAGGGTCCACTTTGCATGGGGCCCTTGATCGGGGCCCAGAGGGGGGTGGGACTCTGAAATGGAAATCTCCCAAGATGCTTTTCACAGTTCCTCAGGAGCACATAAACAAGGGTGCTTCAAGAAGTTTATGGGAAAACGCCATTAGCTTGTAATTCCATGAACTTTTTAAAGCCCCCTGGTAGTAGTTTGTGGTTGTTAGGGTTTCACTCTTTATTTGGATGATTCTGAACACCCAGAACAGTAGAATGAATGCACATGCCCCCAACCACCAGCGCCACCCCTCCCTTTACCTGGGTGGTTTGAAGCAAATCCTAGACGTCTTATTTCACCTGTAAATCCTTGAGCGTGTGTTAACATTATAAAGATTCCTTTTTAATTGGAGGGTTCTCATGCCATCATTCCCCCCTCCCCTTGGCAATTTATTGGCTGAAGAAACCAGGTGATTTGTCCTGTATAATCTAGATATTCCCTTGTTCTCAGGCTCATTGTTTTTGGTGTTGTGCGCACATGTTTAATGTGGTGCTACACACCTGTATGCACACACCCCCTAGTCTTCCCATTAGAAGCAGTTCAAACACTCCTTTTGTGAACAAGCAGGAGTGGATGGGCATCCCCTCATCTGGTGGGATATGGTGAATGCTAAGTTGTGACCACTGGTCCCTCAGGCCAGGACCTGGCCCTGCAGTCTACTTCCTAGTTTCCCTTTGCAGCCATGGAAACTGGATTCATTTGGGGGCCAGACATGTCCCCACATGCTTTCCAGTGAATCCCGGAAAGGATTTTGTTAAACAAGCGCTGGTTTTATTTTCCAGCTGAGTTGTGTTAGGCCCAAAGAGGTGCAGTGACTTGGCCAGGGTCATGTGACTGGTGATGATGGGAGAGGGGGGCAGCCTCATCCATCTTCATCTGCTTCCCAAGCTGGACATCTCTGGACTTAGTGTTTTAAATACATGGCAGTTTTAGAATGCATTTGTGAAAATTTATGAGACAAACGTCTTTTCGATTGTATTACTATCATAAGAATGAAATCAGACTGTTTGCTTGAGTCAATGTACCACAATCTATCTGGAAAAAACCACACACAACAAAAAACCCTCGGGGATCAGAGTTTTTAGCAGTAGATTGAACATCTCATGACTGTGTATGCTTGTTTCAGTGTTTAGGAAAAGGTGACGAGAGCTTTACATAGTCCCGTACCCGCAGAGTGTTCAGTCTGACCTCTGCTCACTCGTCCCACCAGCTTTCACAACCTTCTTCCTAGGCCTTGCTCTTCTACACCAACGCCCTGACAGAGTCCAACCCCAAACTCCAGCAAGCTGCTTGTATGGCGCTCAAACATCTCAGGGTAAGTCAATGTGTCCTTGCTGGGGATCAACGGAGACTGTTAGAACTCATTTTCAAAATGATTTCACTGGGACCAAAATGGGCCAAAAAAAAAGAAAAACCAGCTACATAAAAACTAACTGGTCTCAGGAGGAAAGCCCATTGGAAACACATGGAGTGGATCTACCCTGAAACAATTCACCTGTGAATTGATTTTCCATATAATCCTCACACAACAGATGAGATCGGTACAACTGCTCCTCCCGTTATACAGATAAGCAAAGTGAGGACTGGTCAAATTTCATTACTTGGCTTGAAGTCACAGATACTAAGTGGGGGAACTAGCATTTGAAGCCAGACAGCGGGCGGGCCTCTAGGCCCACGTGTTCACCCTCTAAACAGGGAGATCATCATGGCTCTTCCCCTGCTAGTGGCTTCTCAAGGTCTTGCCTATGGAGAATTGCTGGTGTGAATGTCCAGTTCCTGGCAACCACCGGCTTTGTATTTTTTGGATCATGGTTTTGTCTGGACCTTTCATGTAAATGGAATCATATTACAAAAAAAAAAAGAAAGAACGGGTCTCAGAGGAGCAGCCATCGGCCCTGTCAACAAGACCTCTGACAGAAGTATCCCAGGCTCTGGGGAGATGGCCGGGACCAAACAGGTGGCCCCAATGCCTCACTTCTGGATGCTGGGATCACGGGCTTTAATGTTCTCAACTACAAACAATTTTTTTTTTAAAGTACAATTCATTCATTGCTGAAAAAACAAAAACAAAAGTGAAAAATACAGGAATGCAAAAAAAAAAGAAGTAGCAGAAAACGACTGTTGATGTTTAGCTGTATTTGTCATCTTTTGGTATGGTTGTGCAGGGCGGGTACATTTTAAATTCTTGATGACACTCTGGTGGCGGTGGTGGTGATGTTCCCTGTAGTCAGTTCTGACTCATAGTGACCCTGTATAGGGTTTCCAAGGCTGTAAATCTTTACGTGAGCAGAAAGCCTCATCTTTCTCCCACGGAACAGCTGGTAGTTTCGAACTGCTGACCTTGAAGTTAGCAGCCCGACTCTAGAGAGTTTAAAAACAAGGAACAAAATAAGACTTTGAGTATGAGATTGCTAATGCTTTAGACGTTTTATAAAGAATCTATTAAGCACACACGGTAAAAATTTCAGCGATTTCCACTCTTTCATATTGTAGAATTTTTAGTTTTGCTTTTTCCCCTATATTTCATTATGAGCATCTGTGTACATAAAGCTTGAAAAAAGTTAGAGTTCTGGGTTGTCTCTTTAGGCTGTTATTGTTAAGCGCCATTGATTTAGTTACAGAGGATTTCTGAGGAGCATCTGGTGGGTTTGAACCACCAACCTTGGGTTGGAAGTCCAGTGCTGATCCTACAGCTCCACACGAGGACTCCTGAGGCCAGAACAGCCTCAAAATGTTGCTCTAGAGCCAAGACCTTGAGCACTTAGCGATCCTGATACAACATCCCTGTTTACACTCCTATGACATGTGAGGGGAAGGCTCGATAGCATCTGCACTTGAAACGCTCTTTTTAGGAAAGCTCTGCCAATTTGCTACATTTGCCACCATGTTCATTCAGGGATTAGTCAACAAGAAATTCTCCTGGGCCCACCTGGCTGTAGTGAAATAGCGGGCAAGAGGGAGAGGGGCTGGGGAAGTTGCTGAAGGGCCCGCTGGCCCTGACCCTGCAGAAGTACAGCCAGGAAGTCAGCTGGGCCCAGAAAGGCCCATAGCCTGTCACATCTGAGCTAGAGGTCAGGAGGAGGCAGGATGGTCCGAGACTCAGGTCTTGTTTTCAAGCCAGTCTTGTAGAGGTGTTTGGAGACCAGCTCCACTGATGGCCAGGCTCACTAGCAGAAGTCAGGGCAGGAGACAAGACGCTCCCAGTGGGGCTTCTGATGACATGGAGGTCACACAGGGACCCTGGGGGGGCTCAGAGAACGACAGGGTAGAGGCCCTGGGGGACCATCCTGCTGGGCTTACAAACATGGAACCTGCATTTTAAATCAAAATCCCCTCAACCTCACGCAGGGCATCGAGAGCATCGACCAGATCGCTGACCTGTGCCAGTCGGACCTGGAGGTGGTGCGGGCGGCCGCTCGGGAGGCCACACTGTCGTTCGGTAAAGTACCGCTTCCACTTGTGTGGGCAGGCCTGGGAGCTATTGTAGGCATGCTTCCAGAACATCACGATAGAGTGAGTGTATGTAACAGGAATGAAGCCACGATGACACCACATGGTGAAAAAGCCTTGAGTATCATGAGGATGATTCAATAGGACAGAGAAACACATACTGTGGCAAAAATGGTCCCAACATACTCACTCCGGGAAATGTTGACACAAACGTTCTATTTAAGAAAAGTACCGTCTGTGACACACACACAGTAGGCTGAGGTCTGCCTGTCTTGTGGCTGAGGTGGTAACAGTACTTTATTTTCTCCTCAGACTGCATTGTATGGACCCTGGTGAAGGAAATTCAGATGCAAAAGGCAGGCTGAAATTCCATAGTTGCTGCCTAGCTGTAGGGATACCCCAAAGGTCCCCTTCCCCCGTGGGACCCGAGACCCCCATTTCAGACAGTATTAACGTTACCGTGGGCTGCAGACTAGGAAACACCAAGGTGGGGTGACATCCCAGTGACCGATGACCTTGTTGTTTCAGGTGAAAAAGGACGCTTAGCTTTTGAGAAGATGGACAAAATTAGGTTCCAGCAAAGAGACGCCTTTTGCCAGGAGGCAGATGTTGAAATCACAGTGTTTTAAATAGCTCTGGCTGATGGACTCTCCTCTGGCCTCTTCTTTTGCTGCTGCCTGGATGCAGCAACCCAGCCTTGAATGGGGGCCCACTGTGTGAGCTGGCCAGAGTGACCCCTGGAGGTTCAGAGCCACTCACAAAGGTACAAGTCACATGCTGGGCTCTTGTACGGAAACAGATGAACAGCATGGAGAAGGCTGTGCAACTCCAACCAAATGCTTGTGTCTTTGGCACTGAGAATCTCTTGGACCTTTTCCCAGGGCTGTGGAGTTGGGTTAGGGCCAGCCGGCAAGCCAGCAGAAGCCAGGCCTTGAATGAAAGACTGAATTTGAATGTGTTGAACATGAAGCCTCCTTCTTTTCCATTGCTGGCTCAGCAAGTCCTAGGGGGATGGGGTTTGGGACAGAGGAGGCTGGCCGGCCAGCTGTGAAGGTGAGGATGTGAGAGGATTCCAAAACAGACAAATAGCTGGGGGAGATGGGACTGCACTCTGGCAGGCCTTCCCCTCTCCCTCCCCTCTTAGGTCCACAGGGGCAGCCCTATCCAACAGTACAAGGGAAAGGGAGGAGGAGACGCACTGAATCACTGTGGAGAATGAACCAATTTGAGTCCAACTTTGGAAACAATTTTGGGGTCTATTAGATAAATTGTTCCAGGAGCCATAAGCTGCCTGAAGGTCTCACTGATAAAAGCATGTTGCTTTTAAACAAAGAAAAAGCATTTCTTATTTAAGTCTATTAACTACCCCACACACCACCACCACCATGTTCTGAGATGTTTCTGTGTTAAGAACATAGACAGCTTTGTAACTGAACCGTTCTCATTTAAACTTCCTGTACATATTTTTGTGCTTTTTGAGTTTGATTTAGTATTTATTTACCTTGTTTCTACGTCTGGTTTTCTGAAATTTCAATTAAAAACCTGTTTTCAGTAGTGTTCCATTTGATCTGGAAGAGAAAAGTGCCGATTGTTTCCGCACCGCCACTGGGGGATGGCCTCGGGAGCTTCTTGCTGGGGTGGGGATGGGGGGTTCCTGGTGGCCCGCTCCTGTGTATGTGTGCGTGTGTGCATGTGGTAAAGCCCGCCTTTCTCCCCCATCTGATTTCTGTTGCAGAGTTACAAATGTGGTTGTTTTTCTATGCCGGCATTCCACCTCTTGGTGAAAGTGGAGGTGGAGAGTTGAGGGTGGTGGTGGATGTGACACCCTCAGTCCTCTGTGGGTGTGCCCGGGTCACATGACCAGAGCCCATGTTTACCAGCTACAGCATAAACCGTTTACTGACCAACTGGCTTTCCAACAGCTAGAACTTTGGTGCGTTTAGGGGAAAGTGACTATTTTTGCAGGTCTGAGAGATGGTTCTACAACAAAAAGTGAGATATAGTTTTGGGGAGTAAGGGGAGACGTTTACAGTATTTAACTTTGTAACCCAAAGCGAGTCATTGTTTTGAACTCCGTTGTGCATCCGCTGTGACTTGGAGCCCCAGAAGACAGCAGGTCCCACGGGCCCATGTACAGAGATGTGGTAACCGTTGCATCTTACAGGCCACAGTGGGTTGAGGGACGTCCCTGCCCTAGAACAGTTCTAACCTTGTCTACAAGTTCACTAGGCAACTCCAAGGCCTTTTAGAAGTTTTTGTTTTGTTTTATTTTTAATATTAAGGAAAAGGGTTGAGATCTGAGCTGTTAACGTGGCTCACCAGTCCTGGAAGGCTACCCCAACCCCAGCCCAATGTCATGCGTGGCTACAGGAAGCAGTCATGATTCTCAGATGTGGAAAATATGACCCCACTTGATTGACATGTGTTTCACATCAGGAGGAATGGAAAGAAACAGGAGTTGCCCATCCTGGCTCAGGCCCATTCAGCAAAGAAATGGGAAGCACCCCAAATCCATGTTCTTTAGAAAAAAAATCTTTATTGTTGCAACTAAAATGCAAACCCATAATTGATATGGTAAGTTGGAAACTGTACAGCGAGACAGTTCTGTGAGGTCACAGAAGACCCTGAGACACCCCCCCTACCCCGCCATGCATCCATGTGTACACACACCTGAAAAGGCATTCTACTAAAACACCTTGTTTATTTTTGTAGAAATGGTTTCTTCTATGGCCATTGTCAAAAATAATGACCCAATGAGTAAATATTGGCTTAAGGCAGACAGCAGAGCAGCTTGCTAACTCTAACATACGTGTGACGAGATGGAGAGCATCGGTCTTTAAGGATCCGAGGTCACACCAGTACATCCATTTGAAATGCTACTATATATACACACTCAAACGAGTACATACACATACAGGGCTTAAAAAAAAAAACCAAAAACAACAAAAACCAGCCCAACTCAAAAACACGCCAGCCTGACCCCCACCTCCCCAGGCTCTGTGGGCAGCGCTGTGAACAAGCCCGCCACAGAGTTTGTCTGCATCGGCTTCTAACATGTGAAAGGCAAAATGTGAAGATGCTGGCAAAAGAGCAGCTCGTCAGCTACAGCTGCCTTGTTTTGTTTTGTTAAAAAAGCCACTTGATGTGGAGGTTGTTAATCCCCTCGGAGGAAGAGTCGTGAGCACCATCAGTCCCCACTGGGCTCAAGGGCAGGCCCCGGGCAGCAGCTGACGCCAGGGACTGTCATCCAGGTGTGGTTCCAAGTCACCGTCTGTTCCAGATGAGAGTGACTTGGGGAGGGGGTGGGGTGACCCTGCTTGCCTCAAAGTCCAGAGCGGGAGGTGTGCATATGGCTTCCCATGCCCTTGGAATGTCTGCGTTACAGTGGGACCCGGCTGGAGCAGGACTGGCCGGGCCTCACCAGGAAGTCACCAGAGTGCCATGCCAGGAATTAGGCAAGTACAGGTTACTGGAAAACATTCCTCTATTGCTGAGTGACGGCGAGTTCAGCAACAGCCTTTGGAACCATAGTCATGTAATGATCAGCTCATGCAAAGGAGTGGACTTGTCTACGCTTCTTGGTTCAAGCAGGTGATATTTGATCGGGACCCAAGGAGCCCTGACATGCATTCTATACAAAGAGGGAAAGTGGTACTGAGAACGGGGTCCTAGCAGATAACAGTGTTCATTATATATTAGACATTTGCCAAACCTCGTCTCACGGTACCCACACCACCACTAACGAACAAGCGCTTACAACCGCCCTCCCTCCCAGTACTACCTGAGGATTTATTATTGTACTTTTTGATAAAGCCCTTGATACAAGGCTGACATCAAAAATGTTTAATACATTATTGGTGTACGAAAATGCTAGTGCACTAGAGACACCTTTGGGGGAGAAATAAATATGGAGTGGAGGCTGTGGGGTGGGGGAGTGGCACCGCGAGGGGTCTGGGGCAGGCTGCCTCTGCGTTACTGCGCCAGTCGGGCGCTCTGCTGCCCTCCTTGAAACCTGGCTGGTAGGTTTTGGTGCTCGAAGGGAAGAAAAAGTAAAAGGACCAGGGGTCAGACAAGGAGCCGGGCGAGGGCTGGTTTAGTGCAGAACGAGCGTCCGTTGGTCCCGGTGGGCCCTCACCTACCACGGTACGCCTGTGAGCCAGGTGCAGGCGCTCAGAGCGAGGCAGACAGTGGGTGGAGGTGGAAGGTGGGTCAGATTATGTGTTGCTGTTGAACAGGAACTGGAATGAAACCAAACATTTTCAGATGAGCCCAGAAGCCACACCGGCAGAGCCTCCCACTCATGCATCCCCAGCCACCCTCTCCAGCCACCCTCGGCCACTGGTGAAGGCCATTTGCTCTTCTCGGTCTGCTCACTGCCCTAAGGACCGTCCGCTAACTCATCTGATGCCCTCAAAGCCGGTGCCTGGGAAGACGTGATATGGGAGAAATGAGAATAGAGGTCTTGGGAGGGGATTCCTCCAACCAGGTTTGAGAGCCCTTCTTTCCCTTCCCCGACCTGAACACCAACACACTTCTAACGTGGGGTGGAAACTCATGGACCCCAGGTAGGAGTCACTCATGATGGGGTGGGGCACGGTGGGAAGGGACGAGAAGATGGCTGCAATGACAGGGCGTCGGTGGAAAAGCGCAGAAGGGAGAAGCATCGGGGACACCCTGAGCAAAAGCAGGAATATGTTTGCCTCTTCTAGAACCTGCCACTTGTTTCTCTACATGTGCGGGAGATCGCGGAGGGCACGGAGCAGGACACTGTTCCTATAAACCTCGCCTCGCTTCCAGAGGAACTGACGTTCGCAAACGTTTGGGATTCTTCACTGAGAGATGAAATAAACTGGGGACCTGATTACACCATCCAAGGGTACAAAGCTTCCTAAGTGCCTAGTCTTTCTCACCCGCTCCCCGGCCCCACCCAGAAATAACAAAAAGCTGCTTTTTATAAAGGTTAAAAACAACAATGTGTTGCAATTCTATTATTTCTTTTTTTCAAAACAAATAAAACAAAAAAGAGAGAGAGAGACACACATATTTGGCATTTTCTCTACTTGCTCCTGATAGGTTAAGGCCCTGAGATTAGACACATGTATTCCTGGGACCACAGGGCTCATCACAACCCTAGTTCATCAATCCCCATTTCTCTCTTTCAGCCTTCCACAGTTCCAGACTTAGAAGCCTTTGCTCTGTTTCTTCTGAGACCTGGCTCAGATCCTTCCACAGAAGTGACTCGCGTACACGGTCTATGGCTGGTGCCTTCTGCACACGCTGTCAGTGAAAACATACCCTGTAGCAGAGGTACGCTCCGGCCGTGAAGGCCGCGGCCATGCACACGTTGACCAGGAAGGGTTTCCAGTGAGTCAGCGCCTGGTCTTCCTCCTCCTCGGGTGCCAAGGGCTCCGCCTTGACGGGGACGGTGACAGGGGTGCCGTGTGGATCTCCCCCTACCATCCGCCTTCTGACTTCAGTGTCCTGACTTGAGCTGTGGAACCAAAGGGGCAGGGTTGAGTTACCCACTTTGTCAAGTGGGCACAAGCCGCCCCGAGAAACAGGCATAGCCCCAGTGGGGCCTGCTGGACTTGTCTAAGTGAGCCCTGCTCATGGGCCAGGGTTGGCAGCCGGTGCCTGGGTGAGACGCTGACAATCAATTTCACCAAAGGAACCACCGCATACAACACACACTTTCGTGTGACTCGATTTCTCATGTATGGAGGAGATGGCTCCTAAATGTGTCTAACTTGTAGGCCAGTCAGGACAGATGCTTTCTGGACTTCAAGAAAAGGCGGGACGCCTGAAGGCTTCTCGCGGGTTAAATACGCACACATGACGTGACTGCGATGAAGACTTTCTGGAGTAGGGGTTGGTGCGGCACTGCAGGGTCAGCACTGGACTTAAAACCACAGGGGCAGTAATTTACACTCATCAGCCGCTCCTCGGAAATGCTACACAAGGTCACTATGAGTTGGACTCGACTCAATGGCACTAACACAACAACAAGAGTTGGCAGAGCTGTTTGAACGTGAGGGTAAATTTATCTAACGATCAAGTACTCCAACTCTGTCCGCATGCTAGGCCAGAGCACCTGCAGCTCAGTAACAGAGAGGAAGCCTGGCAGATCCACTCCTGGAACAGAAAATCTGCTCACCTCTAAATGTTCACGACCATAAAGGATGCCACAGTGAACTCTTGGCTCTATCTACAAGTCTGGTGAATCTGTAGGTATCTGAACAACTACTAGACAAACATGAGCACATGTCAGTGCCCACTCTCTGAAAAACGAGGGAAACAATGGGCCCTGCCGGCAGTAACCTCTGGTCTGGGCTACTTCCTCTCCACCCTTTAAGCTTTTATTCCGCCCCCTGGCTCCCAGGAGAGCTAAGTACCTATCCCCTCTCTATGGCCAATCCTCTCAGCGTGCAGGCCCACGCATCACTGCCAGCTGGTTTCCACTACTGGCTGTCTGGGCTTGCCTCCTCCCTAATGGAACCTTCTGGAGAAGCAGAGCCAGGTTCTCGCGATCTCAGGATTCCACATAAGTCACAGGTGCTTAATGAATGTCTGTCACACTGGAAGGAGGCAAGAGGGCAATCAACTAGAAAGACTACCTAAAAAGGTTCAGACGCAAGCCTGAATCTCACAGTGGCAAGTCCCCATTCAACCACACAGTGTCCAGTTCCAATGAGAACCACAAGGGGGTGCTAGAACCCCATTGACACTGTTGCGTGACTTGGGGGCCAACTAGTGGCCAATGCTGAGTCTCCTTCAGCCAGGCAAAGAGCAGCTAGACCAGGAACCCCGTTACCAAGGGTACAGAAGTATGGCTTGCCAAGAAGAGGGTTTTAAAGTCACTAGTCATTTCCCCTCACCCCCAACAAACCCAGACACTTCACATTACCTTTCCATGTCGTGGGGGGCATTTACGAGGATTCTGGTTTTCGCCTCAATGGGGCCGTCTCCTTGACTGTCTTCTGTTTCATCCTTCACCCAGAGGTGGTTGGGGAAGAAATCCTTGTATCTCCCATTGTTTGGTTCCGGTACTCGTTTGGGTGGCCGGGGTGGTGGGGGGACATGCTCGGGTGGGGGCTCCAGGTCCTCGTGGGAGAGCTCTTTCCACTGCTCCTTGAAATGGCAGCAAGAGAAAGTCCGTTAATGCGCTCTCAGGAAAGACACCCTCGGAGGTGGAGGCGTTTGCACTGGAAGGGGAAATCTTTGGAAACCTCACCGCTCTCTCCCTGAGCGCTTCAAGACAGTGGGGAAAAGGCCCACCACCACTTCCCAGTGAATTCCCCTGAATCACAACAGCTGTGGAACGTGGACAACTGACTGCCTGCTTCAGAAAAGACACCTGCAACCATCAGACCTGGATTAGAGCAAAGACGATGCCCACCTGCACCGAAGAGTCTCCCATGATGAATTTGGCACCTTCGATCACAGCTAGGTAGGAGAAGCGGAGCTGATCTGCTGTCTGGATCAGTCCCATGCGGAATTTCCTCATTTCTAACAGAACTTTCTTAATATCAACAGAAGAGGGATCTTTCCGTTTGTCCATCTGTAAACCAAAAAGGAGGCAGAATTCAGCTGGCTGCAGCTTTCAAGTAATGTTTTACCCTGTGTGCTTCCAGCTTTCCGATCACAGGGGAAGGGAGCAGGCAGAAGAAGGATGAGACAGTGGAAGAAAATGCAGCAAGGTTGTGACCATTTGAACACAGGTGGCTGACAGAGGCACAGCAGAGAGAGAGCAGGACTTTCGGATGACCTGGATTCTACATTAAAATGGCAAGCACCCCCTCTGAACAAAGCTATTTTGGGTAAAAGTATATTCACAGACGGGGCAGCTGTCAAAAAAGAAGCACAGAGCTAGTGTGACTGAGGCAGTGTCCCTAGGGGTGATGAGAGACCACGGTGACCAGACCAGGTGTCTCATCTCCCGAGTGTCCTCAGGGTCTCCTTACCAGCAAGAGGCAGGTGTCAGCGAGGCAGAAAGTCCCTGAGCGGCCGATGCCCGCGCTGCAATGGACCACGATGGGGCCGTGCTCCAGGCTGAGCGACCCCGACTCGCGGACTTTGAAAAGAAAGTTCAGGAACGAAGCTGGTGATTCGGGGACCCCAAAGTCAGGCCACGTGGTATAGTGGAAATGTAAAATCTCTCGAGTTTCTTGAGACTGAAAGAGAAAAATATTCATGAGGATTCTAAGAGAGTCGCCGGGACAGAAATCACTAATTCCTTGTAAGCACAGTGACTTTGCTCCATTAACAACATGAGAACGAGTCTCAGAAAAGGTGTTACAGGTGCGGCAGTTCCTCCCAGAAATGGGCCACCGGTCCTCACCAGGCACAAGGTACCAGACCCCCGTATATGGCGCTGGAGCCAAAGGCTCCTCCCTGCCCAGACACGCCTTCCTGTGGGATGGAGTGGTCTCGCCTGTTTCCTGTCTGACACCCTAGCACATATATATGTCCCTCTCCTCTGTCTTTAGGGTTACAGCTGGTTTCTCTGTTTCATGGAGGATGGAAAAATACCTGCCCATGTGGCAACAGCTCTGGGTAACTTGGAGCTTTTCAAGACTATTGGGAAGTCTCCGAGGACTGTCACTGTAGAGAAAACAGAACCCAACTTGGTCCCCAAGGAGTGGTGTTGCAATGTGTGCCTCAGGAGTCGGCGGAGCGGCCCCAGAAGCGAGAGCTCACTGAGCCTCAGCGCTGCAGGTCAGCACCACCATGAATCCATTTTCCAGATGAGGAGACTGAGGAAGGGAGGTCACACCTCCAGAAGGGGCGGTCCAGTTCACAGTCTGCTTCAGGAATTTCTGGAGGGAGGAGCCGGGTCCCCATGGTGCTCCTCCGGCCCAGAGTGCGTCGGACGACCAGAGAGAAGCCTCTCTAGTTCTGCGGGGCTAGTGCTCTGGCGGACCCCTTCCAGGGGGACATCTGGGCTGTAGTTGTAGCAGGTGATGATCGCTCTAAGAGTGCACAGTAGATGGGGACAGTCACGTGGTAAGGAGGACTCCAAAGGCCCCAGGACTGCCAGTCTTGCTCCATTGGGCACAGCATGGGGCTCCCTGCACATGGCGCCAAGGGCCAAGTTGGTGGCCAGGCCACCAAGGAGCAGCTGAGGGAGAATTTTTCAGGCCAAAGGCTTGATTACGAACAATGGTTCCTTTATCCGGCGAACGGTCACTGGGCCAGACATGATGCAGTCAGAGAGCTGCCCTCCACACACACAACTCTGAGGAGAGTTACAATCACCTGCCCCTGACTATTGGCCTAAGTGAAGCGTGCCACCAGCTGAGGGACCAGAGGAGGCTGTCCATAGGCCTGGGAGAGAGCCGCATAAGACTCCTGGATAAATGATCGCACAGGGAGCAGCCCCAGTCTTTTATCCTGAGAACATGAGCTGCATGTTCTTCAATGGCTTAAAGGAGGCAGAGGCTCAGGTTCCTCACGCCTTCACCAGGTTCCTCATGGCAGACTTGCACATGTCAAAACGCAGTAAAAAAAGATGTCTACTACAGAGTCCTCCAGGCACACTCCAGCATGGTTAAGCACTCAACCTTGTTCATGAACACCTCCGCAAGCCCTCCGTATCACTCCTGGAGGCTCTGCTGGGCCCAGGCTACACAGCACGGGCACAGCCCAGCAGCCGGCAGAAACAGAAAGCTCAGGACAGGCAGCAGTGCGGCCTCTGACAGCTGCACGGTTCTGACCTTCACTTCTCAGTCACCTGTGCTAAACTCTAGGTCTGAACCTCAACGGTGCACTCACAAACAGGAGCCATGAGGTAGGGAAGGCCTATAGTTAAACAAGCAAGACGAAGGTGGGAAGGTACCTCAGCAGCACATTTGGGGGTCCCTTCACGTGGTCCCAGCACGTGGCCTCCATGGAACCTCCCCTCTACCCTCAGCGTTCTCCTCAGCCCCATACTGCATTAACACTGCAGAAGGATTAGCTTCCAAAACCTTCACAAAACCCCACGCTGACAAGGGAGAGAAGATGCCTCTGGCCAGTGTCTCGTGGTTTGATGTGGTGGAACCAGGGCCTAACCTCCAGTACTTATCGTACGGAGCCACCAGGCGGTCATGCACACAGATAACGTGTAACAGAATGAAGAAATACCCGTAACAATTACAGTCCCCGCTGCGGCAACTGGTTGCCTAACACATATTTAGAACTACTTTCTTCCACCACCCAGTCCATATTCCCTTTGCCCTCAGCAAGCAGCTCAACTGGTTGTAGTTCCTGGTGAGACCATTCATTCCTGAAGGGTCTGAGGCCATTAGCAGCCATGTGAGAACTGGGTTGCTGTAGTTTTCCACTGGTTTGAATCTCAGGGCATGGCAGTACAAAGACACTCGCAGGAAGCTTGTATTCCGGGCACACGCTTCTTGACCTCCACTGGCAGGGCCATCGAGTTGATCTGTCAAGTGCCATTGGGTCGATTTTCATTCACAGCAAGTCTATAGAGGGTTCCCAAGGAGTGGCTGCTGGGTTAGAACTGCCAACCTCATGGTTTGCTGTCCTGGGCTTATCCTACAGCGCCGTACCAGGACTCCATTAAGCACGGTCGATCCGATTTCTCTTTGGTAATCAGAATCAATCGCACCAGCCAATATGGTAACCAAACCACTTCCTTCTCTGCCCGTTGAGCCAAAAGCACAAGGGGTCCGAAGCGGGTGGGTGGCATTCCTCACTTCCAGTCCAATGGAGTCAGTGTGTGTCCAGGTGGAAGCATTCTCCCCTCTGAAACTAAGGACCTATGGAGCAGAGGGGTGCAGGGACAGGAGACAAAATTTGTGCAAGTGGGTCACTAGAGATACTAGTGAGTGCCACTCCTCCCACGTCACCCCTTTGCTTCCTGCATCTGTGAAGCCTGGCTCTGGGAGAAATGGCACCATACACTGGATGATGGGTTAGCGCATACTGAGGCTCCTGGAGCACAATGCCCACTCACTGGCACCATAATTGTGTCTTTAGGAGGCTATTCCATCGTTCCCTCCAGTCGGCGACATGGTAAAAGCATGGAGGACTGCTGCTCATTACTGGCTGGGACGTGAGTCTGCTGACTTAAGGCTGTGTGGGAGACCGTGCTGGTGAAGAGGTCACCTGTGAATTCAGGGATGGGAGGATCTGCAGAAGTATTGTGTGCAGGAAAGGCAACTCCATAGTCAGAGGAAATGTCTGTCCCAGTAACAACCAAACACTACCCTTTCAGTGGTGGGAATGGTTCAATGCAATCAACCCACCATGAGGTTACTGGCTGATCTTCCCACAGAATGGTTCCACATTGTAAGCTGTGGGTTAGTCTCTGCTGTGGCGGCTGTGGCGGCTGTGGCATGGCCTTGGTGAGTGCAAGTCCATGTTGCTGAACCTACCCATACCCTCCATTCCTGTCACCATGACCATTTTGCTCAAAGTCCGTTGAGCCAGTCAGTGCCAGGTATAGCTGGACCAAGATTGGTTTCTACAGAATGTGTCAGCCCATCCACCTGACTGTTCAAAGTCCTCCTCTGCCAAGGTCACCTTCTGGTGAACACTCCCAAGTCACAAGTCTCTTCACTTCTTTGGCTCTTGCAGAGAAGACTATAGCCATGTATCTCTTCCCCACAACGCACTGTCACCAAGTCCCTGACCATCTAGCCAAACCCATGTATCAGCATACACTTGCTCATCTGACCAGCTCTCCTTCCAAGTATGGTGAACACCTGGTGCGTTGCTTGAAGTTCTGCCCACTGGGAGGATTTCCCTTCCTCACTGTCCTTCAGGGAGGTCCCAGGAAGGGGCTGTAGTGTTGACGCTGTTCACTTTTGATGATGGAGGCATGTCGTGCAGAAGCATCTGTAAATGTGGCAGGAGTCTTCTCTTCCTTAGTCAACTGACCATAAGGAACTCCCCACAAGGCTAGGTGCAGACTGGGAGAGGGAAGTTAATGTGACAGGAGTGGGCACCATGCACCTGGGTCACTTCACACAGCTTATTTATGTCTTCAGGCTCTGCTAGAGCTTGGTCTCATATATGCCATTGTATTTAATGATGAAGTGCTGCTCTACACTGTGGGTCAGACAATATCCAGTTCATAATGGGCAGTTCAGGCTGCATGGTGGCTTGGTGGCCCATGGTTAAGCACTCAGTCTTTACTAAGACCCCGTATAGAGTCCAAAGACGTTTCTCAAAAGAAGAGTAGTTATCTATAGCGGATAGCAAGGCTTTGCTACAAAATTCTACAGGTTTGCATTGTGATTCACCAAGAGTAGCCAGCCAGAGACTCCAAACAGCATCTCTATCTACCACAGACACTTCAAGCACCATTGAGTCAGCTGGCACAGACAGCTCAGGTAGCAAAGTGGCTTGTACAACCACCTGAACCGGTGGTAAAATCTTCTCTTCTTCTGGACCCCACTCAGAGCTAGCAGTTTTTTTGAGTTACTTGACAAATAGGCTGGAGTGGGGGACCCAAATAAACAATATGTTACTTTCAAAAACCATTAGTCCATTGGCCTAATTGCTTCTAAGAGTCTTTTTTCCATTTTCATAACTCTTCTGTCCTCTAGACATGGAGAGACCAACAGATGGCTGGCTGTTCATGAGCTTTAAGATCGTCGTCACTGTTCACCAAAGTAGGATGTGGAACACGGTCTTTGCTATCAGTTATGTCTGACAATTTTAACTTGATTTAGTGTTGTTCTTAAGAGTCAGTTCTGACTCATAGCGACCCTGCGTATAGGGTTTCCAAGGAGTGGCTCTTGAGTTTGAACCGCTGCCTTCGTGGTTCAAGGTGACCTTGTGGGTCCAGTGCTATTATCCTACAGCGCCACACCAAGACACCTTCAGTGTAGGCCACCGCTTAATCCACGCTTTAGTGAGCCAACCGAATAAATTACAGCCTCTCATAACTCCTGAGCTGAAACACTGAATGAAGAATCTGTTTAGTGAGTGCACATCAAGAAACTCCCAGACTGATCCCACCCTGGTCCTTGCACCATTAACCCACACGCTTCATAGCCATTCCTACACATACAAGGGAAGGGACTTTAACGTCTTTAAAAGGTGTCTTGACTCAGATGCTGTAGGTGCATACCAAATAATATCTCAAGTGAAGACTTTTCAAGAACAACTGGATTAATCTTATCAGTTGGTAGTGAAAGGCAGAATGGTTTTCTGGGGAAGGTGGCTTAGTTGTCAAAGATGGAGTAACGTCTTCAGATGGAAGTGTTTCATTGGCAAGGATGCTGCAATGGAATTCAGGGGATCAAAGTCCTTAGCTTCCTGATTATCTGCTCACATACCCCCATTGCACGTTTTAGGGTCCCATTCTTCCCAACAATGTTCTCACTCTAATTTCGGACACCATCTGATTTGGGAAATCAGCTGGTATTATGATTCTGTCAAGTCTTACAACAAGACTCCTCAGGCATTGATCTGACAATGGCAGCTCTGTTCCTACCAGGACGAGGGCTTTCTCTCAGGTCTTTTATGTGATGCTTGAGCTGTGACTCTGAAGCCCTAACCTCATCTCTCTCATTCACCACTAGCAAAAGCAGGGCCAACTAGCTAGCTTCCCTGTACTTGTGATTCTGAGGAAATGATATTAAAGGACCAAATCGGCAGTCACCCAGAGCCTTGTTTCTCAGAAAGTATGCAGTGCCCTTCTTGCTACTGGGGATGGAGCTGTCTGCACCTTTGACACCAGCCAGACTTGAGAAACAGCTCAGAAAGCTCATCCTTACAATTCCGTTCCTAGTCAAGTTGGCACACATCAACCATCACAAGAATATACAAAACATACTCAAAGTCAACTTTCTGCATGTACAACTCAATGACATGTGCTGAGTCACGTTTGACTTTTGCCACCTCCTTTTCTGAGTTGTGCCCCCCCCCCCCCCCCCGAAAGGTTCCTAGTTACTCTTTGGAGCTGTTGTCCATCTGAGCCCAACAGACAGATCTTAAAAGACACAGCGCTCAAGGCAGATGCTCTTTAGAAGTTAAGTTAGCCCGCTGTTTAGCTTTAAGAAGACCTCAGGACATCATTTGATTTAAGGTTTAAAGATTCTATCAGGGCAGTACTTTAGGGGTTCATCAAGCCTCCTTGGTTCCAAAGAGTCAGTGACAGTGGAGCCAGCCCAAAAGGGCCCTGAAAAACTAAGGAGGCCGAGAGCTCCGTAAGGCAGGGCCTGTCCTCCAGCCTTTGTGTGCAGGCTATGCGTCATCCCACCCCAGTCTCAACTAGCGGGATGACGCCAGCCTTTGCCTTCGAACTGGTACAAACAAGTTCAAAGTTGTGAGAGCGCTCTATGGAGAAGTGCGCGCAGCAGTCTTAGCACCAGAACTCGACTTTGTTGAGAACACACCAAACCTGGACAACATGGCCCGAGTTAGGCAATGCCACGCAAGGGAAAAGACATCCCCACCAGCCAACGCCTGCCATACTTACTGTCATGTTTTCCAATTCTAGTTGTCGTACTGTGTAATATGACTTAATATCTTCAGAGATCAAGGTTAACTTCAAGTTTGTGTCTTCAAAGATCATTTCTTTTTCTTCTTTTTGTGGCCAGTACTGTGCACATTTTAACTGGGGAAGGAAATAACAGTGAATTACTGTGAGCAGCGCTGTTCCCCTATGACGAGGCCCGCAGTACACACACTCCAAATGCCTGGGGTTCATCCAAACTGGAAATCACTGTCAGCTACCTACCTGCCAGCTTCCCAGGAAGTTGGGGCAGGGCTGTGGGGGAAGATGTGCAGTCAGTGCTGACTCCCAACCCTAACGGTTCCCTGGTTACCCACCATGTTGGGGGGCTTCGGGGAGGTGGGTGGGTACCGTCTGGCCGGCCCCTTTCCTGTCACCTACAGGTGAAGCCAGGTAGCATGGTGTGGTCTCACTACTTTTTGGAGCCATTTCTAAGATGCCCACAGTGATGGGTGGTGCTGTTGGCACATTGCAAAGACACCTGACTCTGCAGAAAGCAACAGGCCAGGTGCCAGTAAGAACAGAAGAGGCTACAGCAAAACTGCATTACTGAGGTCGAGGGCTGTAGCTGAACGCGAGCTGCCATTCAGAAGGCTCGTCGCCCATGGCCCCCAGCCCATCGGTCTCTGCTTTGGCTCAGGTGGAAAAAGACTTTTGATGTACGAGTTTTGCTTGCAGACTCCTGGTTAGTGTGAAGTTTCTGGACCTGCTCTCCAGACATTTCTGCTTACTGAGGACTTCCTGACAAACATGGCAGGTGTCAGGGGCTCAAGCTGCAAGCACAGTGTGCCCAGACTGAGGAACTCTGAAGATGTTACACTTTGCATCAACTGAGATCTCAGTAAAGGGATGAAGGGAAGACCGCTCTAATTCGCTGTCCACACACCCATTCCACACCCACTTTGGGGCCTGGGTGCACGGAGGACTGACTGACTGACATGGTAGGAGCCTTTGCTCCCTTTGACAGGGAGCAGCAGCCCCTCTACTCTCAAGTTAGCTCACTGATGCCTCCGTAAACAAGGTGGATGGTGAGAGGCGCCGGGGGATGTGCGCGGGGATGTAGGAGAGGCTGTCACTATGAGCCAGAACACTTAACAACAACAAAATATCAGTCAGCTAGACCAGGACTCTCCGTGAGGTGGCAGTCATGTGACGATTCCCCATGATGAGATCTGATGTGATAAAGCAGTAAGAGGATTAAGGGTGGGACACATCCCACCTTTAATCCCATCATGACCCTGATGTGATGTAAGGGAGAGTCTCAAAGGTGTGGCATACCACAACTTTTCTTTTACACGGGATAAAAGGAAAGAGAAGTGAGAAGCAAAGGGGGATATTGCCCGGGAGTCCTGGGGTGACGCTGTGGGTTAATGCGCCAGACTGCAAAGCTGTTTGAACTGCAAGGTTGGTGGTTCAAGCTCGCCAGCGTCTCCTTGGAAACCCTACACAGGGTCACTATGGATCAGAACCAACTTGACGGCACTCACAGCAACAGCATTACCAGCAAGAAAGAAGAGCGGGAGTGGAATGCACCCTTTGGACCGGGGGTCCCTGCACTGTGAAGCTCCCAGATGCAGGGGAAGATTGATGCCGAGAGTCGCGGAGCTCTCCGTGGAATACTGGGCCTACAGATACTAACGGACTGAGACCTTGTCCAGAGGGGGCGCTCTGAATCTGGACATGTAGCCTCCTCAACTTTGAGAGAATAAACTCCTGGTTGTTGAAGGCATCCACTTGTGGACTTTGTTACAACATCACTAGAGAACTTAGACACGCACGCTCTTCTGTCAACACCTGTACACTTTCTTGTCTTAAATACACAAAATGAAAGAAGACCATCAGCTGACCGGATAAGCAGATACCAACTTGAAAAGGAGATTCTATTAGAAAGTGGTCGACCATCAGGATTCCATCTGAGGCACAGTTTGGGGGAGCATCAATGTGCTGGTGTCTACCATAGTTGCAAGGACTCCTGTGAAGGCAGGCACTGGCATCCTGAGGGCCTTCCAAACCTGGCAGTGGGGCAATCTCAAGGAAATCTACAATTATTGGTGGGGAGCCTGCAATGGAGAACATGGCCTCCCCACAAAATGACTGATAGCGAACTAAGCAGAGTACAAAGGGAGATGTGCCCAATGTCCTGTGCATGAAATCAAACACAGCACCTTTAGTAGAGATTTAAGATACAGGCAATGTTTCTAGAAAGGCAAATGACACTCTCCTTGCTTATTCCCCTACCCCAACAAGTCTAAATCGAGCCTATGAGAATGGCACAGGCGTGGACAAGCCTCGTCTAATAGCAGTCATTCTTGCCTAACTATTCTCCAGGAAGCTAGAGTTCTAAAAGACTAAAGGGCACAAGTGCTCCAAATAAGGTAGATGCTACGCTATTGGAAGAAGGCAAAACCCAAGAAAACAATGAAGAATTAATGAAAATTCTATGGTTTGGTTTTGACCATGAGCTATATGGAGACCAAGGGGCCCTGGTGGAGCTGTGGGTTAGGTGTCAGGCTGCCAACCACAAGGTCGGTAGCTCAAATCCACAAGCTGTTCCACAGGAGAAAGACGAGATGGTTTTTGTAAAGATTTCAACTCTCAGAAAGCCTGCATAGGGTTCGCTCTAAGTTGAAATCAACTTGATGGCAGTGGGTTTGTGTGTGCTTTGTTTTGTTGTGGTTTGTATGGATAACAGGGCCTCAAGTTTGTCTATTCCGGTTTGACACCCTGCTGGGAACTTGTATTTCTACCCTAGACAAACTGAATCAGATCATACAAGATCTCTAAGGGATATAAAACTCTTACATCACGTACAAATATACTTGTAAATATCTTTTTAACAAATACGAATTCTCAGCAGGGGACCAAGCTGGAATGAACCAGCTCAAAGCCCTGGTGGATACTTTATAAAAGACATGAAGAACCTCTGCTTTTTCACATCAATTTGCATGCCCAAATGCCCCTGAATGGGACGGCAGTTATAAAGAAAAACGGACCGTTACCAAAGTAAACTATAGTAAAACTAACCAAGCAGCCACAGTTTTGGGGTCAACATAGCAACCCAGAAGAAATGTCACATTGTACCTCGGGTTTAGTGGAAAGGGAGCTATCCAGAACACTTCAGTGCAGCCCAGGGGGAGATGGCTCCTTGCTGTAATGTGACAACAGTCACTAATACAAATCATGTGCTCACAGCAACAAACACACAAGCAAGCAAACAAGAGACGAACAAGAAGCAAACACTACCCTGTCTGATTTTTTTTATTAAGTCATTCTTATTAAAACTCTCACTGCGAGCAGTTCTTCTCAACTTCCCAACCAAGGGCCGGAGCTTTCAGCTTCCCTGCTGTGTGCGGTGTGTGCTGTGGTGGGAACTGAATGTGCTGTTCCTTGACTCAAAACTGCTGATGATGTGGTGAAAGGTGAAGGGGTTTGCAACTTCACATTTTACTAATCAAGCCACCGAGGCAGGCAGAAAACACTTTCAAACCACTTTCACTGACAGCAGTATTTTCTAAGACAAGAGGAATTATTTCATCCATTGAACACTCAAACAAGCTCCCATCTGCTATGCTGAGCAGCAGGCAGAAGTGAAGACGTGAGATTCTGAGCCTGTGCTCTGGTGAGAGGAAGATTCTGTCTTGAGACAGTTTACACCCTCTAGGACCTGATAAGGCTTTCTCGGGACAGGTGATGTCTGGGAATCCGCTGGCACTGAATCGGGTATGTGTCTCGAGGTCCCAGTGCCAACACCTGGCAAGGCCTGGGGACTGCCAGTTCTCAGGTCAGGACAACTTGCTCTCCGTGGTCTGCACAGTCCCCAGCTTCCTTCTCCCGGGGCCTCCTCCAGGGGGGCTAGCACTGTCTGGAGGGGAGGAGGGGGACAAGCAGTTGGGATGGCAGCCATGTGACTTGTGTCCACTATCTGGAATACTACACCTGTCCTTGCATCCGTATAGTCTCACATTACCAGTCACCGTGACCCGATAATGAATGTTCTAGAAGTGCAGGAAGGGAGCGTACCTGCTGCAGGCTGTCCTATGGGGATACCTGGAAGTGAGTTTGGAGATGGAGTGGGAGTATAGAGACACGGGTCCAGATCATGCAGGCTCTTACAAGCCACGTTAAGTATTAGCCTGGGGGACAAGTGGGGGCCACATAAGGGTTTCAGCTGGGCAGAGGTGTGACCAGACTCGGTTTAGAAAGATCACTCAGGATGCAGGGAATAAAATGGACTGAAGGAGGCAAGTCAAGAGGCTGGGGGTGAGGAAGCTGGGGAAGCTGCTATAGGTAGCTGAGCAAACGGGCCACTCAAGCCCAAAGGCTGTCCCAGGGAGCTTTTCAAAGTTGCAAAGAGCTGGGAAGGAAAGAGACTCAAATCCAGAAGTACAAGCACAAGCAGACAGCCTCCTCACTGAAGAGGTGTGGCCAGTGGCCCAGAACTCTAGGACTCCCACTGAGGTAGATCCAGAAAGCAGCAGCCCCAAAGCTGCAGCGCCCTCTACAGTTGGCAGGGGGCAGACTCCTACTAGGTGCAGGAGGATTAGAGATGAAAAGGGTACAAACTTGCCTTTCAAAATAAAAGTCTGTTTCTACCATAAAGCAAGACAGCACCTCAGGCACTACAGGGGAGAGTAAAACGGAGCAGCTAGAGCAGATTCTGGAAAGAGACGTCTGGGGGAAGGAGCAAGGGCAACCTTCACTTTTTTCTTCCTTCGTTTCTATTGTTGTTAAGGGCCGTCCAGTCGGTTCTGACCCAGAGTGACCTAGTACAGGGTTCCCAAGGAGCAGCTGGTGGGTTTGAACCACCAAATTTGCAGTGTAGCAGCCTTATATTAGAGTGCTACACCAAGACTCCATTCCCCTAGCTACCTGACTTCGTTATAGCAAACATGCATTTACTGACTGCTTCTCAATGTGTTGTTTTAACTTTTTTTTTTTTTACATGAAAAAAACCCCACCGTGTGAAAGATAAATAAAATCAACTCAATGAAATTAAGACATGTAGACAAAAGTGTTCACTTTATGGCCCATCACGCAGCACAGAGAAACACAGAAAGTGAATACATCCCCAACTCACCGATCCCTTCTCCATCACTCTGTTGAGCATGACAACGCCCCTGCTTTTCTGCTCCCACACCATCTCCCAAAAGTGACCGCACGTGTTAGGCAAAGGGCCCTGCAAACAGACAATTCACAGAAGGGTGACATGTGTGCAGCCACTTGCCAGATTGTGGGCTCACCTGTGGTGGTCAGCAGCTACCAGCACCTCAGTCCTCACCGGCCTCACCACGTCTTAGTGCTGTCACCACACGGCTATTTTCTACCACAGAGTGACAGGTCATGTCTCTTGTTCAGTTCAGGGCTCTCTGGTTTGGCCGGATCAGTCGTGGGGCTCACTGGGTGTAGGCAGGAGGCAGTGAAGCAAGTAGGGGGGAATGACCAACAATATTGCATCAGGTGGTCTGAATCCCGGCCCCAGTCACTGCTGCTATCTGTGTATAGTCTCCAGGTCGCAGTTTCTCTGTACCACTGTACTAGTCATTGTCCCCACTCATAAGGTTGTGAAAATTAACCATGATCAGAGAGATAGAGAACTTAGCACCTGGCCACAAACAGCCTCCCTCCATGGATCACAGCACACAGAGACATGGACACACATGAAGTGAGTTGGATCTCCTGGGGAGCGGTGTCACTGAGGCTGGGTGGAAGCGCTGGCTGAATAGCAAGCAGCCCTGTCTCTGTTTGGCCCACCTGGCAACAGGCACAGGTTTACTGGATCCAGGTGGTTTCAATGTTTAGAACTGTTGGAAGAGACACTGCCTCTCATGTCCATCCCAGAGCCTGAGAGGTTGCTGGCCAGCACTCCGCCTTTAGAATGGCTTCCACTCTTAGCTGTCTTCATCCAAGGTTCCTTTCTTTTTTTTTTTTTTTAATTAAATGTTTTTATTTTGCATTGAGTGAAAGTTTACAGGGCACATCATCAGCTTCACATTCAACCATTCATATAGCTTGTTTCATTACATTGATTATT